ACCAAATATGCTCGCCCTTTCAGCCGTGGGGGCATTACAATGTGACGGTCAATCCCACTATTCGTTAGTAAAAGAGTAGCGTTGGCGGTGGGTGATGATGACTAACTGCCTTCCCTCTAGTCTTACACTGCTAAATTAGGGACAGCTAGCGCAGATAGCCCTCGTGTAGCTTTGCGCGAAATTCAAAAACAAACAAACATCGTTGTGCGCAGAATTCAGATAGCCTATCGTGTGGTTCTGTGCTAAAACAAACAAACAAATAAACCAACCGATTAAAACAGTTTCACCATTTCATGCCTAACTCTAGCATTTCTAAAAGTAAGGTTGCATGAGAAGCAAAATTTGGCATTTTTATTGATGTTTCAACATATTTTATATTAAAGGTACGCAAGAGGATATTAATTATTATCAATGTAAAAAGACAGTAGAATTAATATACTTATTTGTGTGTATTTTTGTAAATTTATCTTTTCTATTCTTAAGGAAAGAGTCTTTAAACTTAAACTCTATCCTGGAATTATACATTTTTTTCTTTCTTTCTTTACATATTTTAAAGTTATAACAAGGTCTTCTAGATGGCACTGTAAACGGCACGGCACAAACACACTCAAGTTTGAATCAGAACGATAGGCCATAGGACGAGTGACGTGAGTTTACAAGTATTACAAGTTTTAAATATTCTTTATTAATTATTCTAGTTAAAGTAATAAAAATAATTGAAATTTATATGATTATTTTATAGTAATACATTACATTATTGACATACTACTGCTTTTAAGTCATGGGTAAAAAGGACAAGAAAAAAGGCAAAGGAGCTGAGAAGACTACAAAGAAAACAGAAAAGAAGGCTTTTCAGAAACTGAAAAAGGAATTGGTCGCGAAAGGAGAAGTAAGAAATAACTATAAATAATGAACAACTTAAACGATGGAATGTGTTTAGATTGACCGTAATTAATTGATAAAATTGTTGTGTTCCACAAAATATACCCTCATTTAAAAATTATTCCACACCAGGAGGCACGATTACAGACAGTTCACTATAACTACTAAATTAGTATAAGTGTAATAGTAAATTAGCATTAAACCCAAAGGTGCTGGTTAGCCATCATTTGGAATATTATATTTAGCTTTAGTCATGTATTGTAAGAAAGGACCTTGAGTTGTTAAACTTAGAGGACCCAGGCTAGAGAAGAGTTTTTTGGATGATTCCAAGTTTGAAAGGTTATTTTACAGGAGAACTTTCATGATATATATATATTTAAAAACGACAAGTAGTTAAAATAGTGTTATTTTTCTAAGAATGTGATTGATGTATGAAATGAGCTATCAACAACAGTAGTGGAGAACAGTACTCTACAAGATTTAAGAGAGCAATGATGATTTCCAGTATACAGTACAGTAAATAGTGGGTTTAGATTAGTAAAGGGGTGTGTGCATGGACAACCTTGAAGGACTAAATGGTCTCTTATTGCTGTATTTTTTGTGTTATGGATGGAAACTCACCCAGCATGTGTGACTGAAGAAAGGGATCTTGGAGAGGAAAAAGTTGTTTTTGTTTGAGGGAGGGCTATGATTGAGGTTTTTAAAGTTTTTAGAAATACTTGGAAGCTATAAGACTATACAGTGGCATTTCAAAGTATTTGCAGGTAATAAAATTAGTTTAAAATACATAAGACTCGTACAAAACTCCGGTAGGAGCAGTGTTGCTTCTCAAAGAGTAGTTGGCATATATAGAACTATTTACTTTCAACTATAGCAGAACATTGAACAAGTCTTAAGAGGAGATTGGATATAGGCATTAGTATGGTAGTAGAAAATAGGAATAACGTGGCTCAGTGCTAGTCCATCGTAACTTCATTACTGCTCCGTGGGGTTTTACAAAAACTGACAGAATATTCATATGCAAATCATAATTATTTTTGTTGTATTTTAGTTGTCCATTAACAGTTTAGGGAGGCAGCGAGGCGGTCCCTGTTATCGAAAAGGTTGAGGAACTGAGAAGAAACTTGATTTCTCACTCATTAGAATTGTAATGTTACTGTTGACTATGTTATTTATAAGAAATGTATGTTCTTTAGATAGTTTTAAAGATCTTGTGTTAGTTCAAACTTTGCAGATTTATTTTATATTGAAATAAACTTTGTTTGATACTAATTTTAGGAAGATATTGAAAGTCTGATAGCTAAGTTTCAAGAAGAAGATTGCAAAAAACAAAAAGTTATTGAAGAACAATGTGCACCTCCATCTGTCAGGTACAATACACTATATCTTATTTCGTTTTGTGTGTAAAAATTAACATTTAAATAGTTGCACATTATCTTTTAAATGAATACAATTATTTACAATTTTGTTGCTATGAAAGTGTCTTGTTTTACTTTTTTTTTCTTTTTATGTACAAAAAGGGAAAATGTATTTGTTTGCCGTGTGCTTATACTGGCTTTTACATAATGTTTACATTTGTTTACATGATATTTTCTCTTCTTGGTTTAAAAAAGTTAAGTTCAGAGAGCAGTTGGAAGTTTTAGATTTGTTTTCCCTAACTATTTAGAACATAGATTATGCTTTCAAAGATTTTAACAGTTTATACAGTCTGGTTTTGGTGTGTCCTTATTGAGTGGTGGAGTGAAAAAACTTAAAATGTATATTTGAGGTCATAGATTTCAACTTTGTCAGTCTGTAATACAGTTTTTCAGTTAACATTATGAATTTGTCAAATAGTTTGTTTGATGGCATGGTATGTGTATTTAGTTTGAATTATTTTAAAATTTTGTTAGATAGTGTATGGAAATATAAGAATATATTTAATTTGGTGTTGGTACTTTAGTGAAACTTCCAGAATATATATATAATGTTACTAAATGTGTGGACGAAGGAAAGGGTGTGGACTTGGTAGAGTTAAATTTTAAAATGCCCTTAATAAAGTGCCACACAATCAATCAGTAGAGGTTGGGGAAAGAGTTGTCAGTTAGATGAGGAAAACAAAATATTATTATTAATGGAATCCAGTCAAACTGGACCCTTATTACAATTAAAGTATCTCATGGGTCAGTACTTGGACGTTTTTTTATTTAAGGTAATGATAGTTATCATTAAGTTTACCGATGACATTAAACTCCTTGATATTTCTATTACAATTAGAGTATGTCATGGGTCAGTACTTGGACGTTTTTTTATTTAAGGTAATGATAGTTATCATTAAGTTTACCGATGACATTAAACTCCTTGATATTTCTATTACAATTAGAGTATGTCATGGGTCAGTACTTGGACGTTTTTTTATTTAAGTTTACCGATGACATTAAACTCCTTGATATTTCTATTACAATTAGAGTATGTCATGGGTCAGTACTTGGACGTTTTTTTATTTAAGTTTACCGATGACATTAAACTCCTTGATATTTCTATTACAATTAGAGTATGTCATGGGTCAGTACTTGGACGTTTTTTATTTAAGGTAATGATTGTTATCATTAAGTTTACCGATGACATTAAACTCCTTGATATTTCTATTACAATTAAAGTATCTCATGGGTCAGTACTTGGGTGTTTTTTTATTTAAGGTAATGATCGTTATCATTAAGTTTACCGATGACATTAAACTCCTTGATATTTCTATTACAATTAAAGTATCTCATGGGTCAGTACTTGGACGTTTTTTTATTTAAGGTAATGATCGTTATCATTAAGTTTACCGATGACATTAAACTCCTTGATATTTCTATTACAATTAAAGTATCTCATGGGTCAGTACTTGGACGTTTTTTTATTTAAGGTAATGATCGTTATCATTAAGTTTACCGATGACATTAAACTCCTTGATATTTCTGGCTATGTTGATTTATTAAAGAATTACTTGAAACAATATTATAAGTTGGGAAAAATTCTTCTTTGGAAATCATAATTTGGATCCCGTGTTTGGGAAGTAACCCAATAGTGTGACATGATCTTGACATTGTGTCACTCGGGCCATCGATGCAGTGCTCTTTTGCAACTAGTAAAATTAATAATAACAATTGTGTGAATTTATAGACAGATTTATCATAAATCAAAGAAGGTAATTTTCACCTTATTAATTTAATAATAAAAATAATATAAAATTTTCAAAACTTTGTAAATTTGGTAGTAGGTAGTTAAATTTTTTATAAGACATTAATTAGAAATGTTTTTTAAAGTGATTTTTAATTCTGTTACTGTTGAAATATATATTTACCCGAATAAAATTTTTTTTAATTTTAGAAGTGGCTTTACATTTAGTGCTCATCCTGAGAAAGACGAATTAATCATGTTTGGTGGAGAATATAACAACGGCAATAAGGTAAGTGTACTTAAATAATGGAGTAATCTTGTTCCTTTTATTATTTTTTCTCTGATATCTTGAACTTCCTTGCATTGTAAATCTGCAAACCCTTTTTATGTATTAATTGGGAAATGTTTTCACTGCACCACTATTTGTTTCTCCCTTTTTTTTTATCATAACCCTATAATTACTAAATGAGACTATGCAGACTTTTTTGTTGTGTGTGTAGTGGTTTCACAGTTGTAAGGTACGAACCAAGCAAGAAATGCATGAAGTATACGGCTGGTAGGATTCCTTATGTACTTTATATAGAAAAAAGTATGATTCTGCTCTATTATTTTGGTCATTTCTGTGCACTGAATAAAATAATAAAAATAAAACTCCCTAATATAATGTAATACGTGGACTCCCACTGAAGTGAACAGTGTAAAAGCAATACAGTAATTTTTTGGTTCAAAACTCTGGTTGTATTATAACGTGCAAAGAATGGATCCAAACAAGAACCCGACTTTAATGGACAGAACTATTTCTCTCAGTTGTAAGTTTATGAAATGGTGTGCCTAATGATGATGTTATTTTAAGAGAATTTGACAGTTACGTGGATGTGAATCATTACTTTTTATGTGGTTGATGGTGTTTTGAATGTTTAGAATTAGAACTTTGATTGGTGTAACCTAAGATAATTAGTTAATTATGTTGATTGATTAATGAAAGTTTTTCAGTTTAATTAAGGTCATGCATCTCAAAAATAATCAACAAACTGAAATTATGGTTTTTGATTATTCTAATTATCGAAGTCTCGTGAAAATAATATATTAATTAAATGTAATCAATTAATGACATGATCTTTTTTTTATATATATGATGTGACTTTAAGAATAATAAACTAATTTTATTAATGAAAGGGTTTAGATAGTTTTTGTTAAGTTTAATATACAAAACTTTAAAAACTACTGACAATTGAAAATATTAATGAGTATGGTTTATTCTTCTCATAAAATTAAGTTTTCTTTTGTACTTCATAGACTTCATTTGAACTGTACGGTTTCAGTGAAAATTAGTTTTCATACGTGATGATTTAAATGCATTGTAAATATGTTTTGTGTACAGCTGTTGTTATACTTTATTTGTAGACTTTTATGTACAATGATCAGTTTATATACAACATAAAAAAGGATTCGTGGTCGGTCATCAGATGCCCTCTTAGTCCACCTCCACGCTGTGCCCATCAGGTATGAAGAATAAATTATTATTGTATTTAGATCTATTTTTATATGTGTCCTGTGTGTGTGTGTGTTTTAGGAATCAGTGACTAAGTATATGTTGTTGACTATTCAGATATCAATGTGTATAGTACTGAGTAAGTTGTCCACTATGAACACTTAGAACTATTCACTGTTTCAGATATCAACGTGTATAGTACTGAGTAAGTTGTCCACTATGAACACTTAGAACTATTCACTGTTTCAGATATCAATGTGTATAGTACTGAGTAAGTTGTCCACTATGATCACTTAGAACTATTATAGTCTCACACTGATTGCATTCCCCTCAGTACGGCCCTGACAACAACCATTATAGCCTCACATTGATTGTATTCCTCACAGTACAGCCCTGACAACAACCATTATAGTCTCACATTGATTGTATTCCCCACAGTACAGCCCTGACAACAACCATTATAGTGTCACACTGATTGTATTCCCCACAGTATGGCCCTGACAACAACCATTATAGTCTCACACTGATTGTATTCCCCACAGTACGGCCCTGACAACAACCATTATAGTCTCACACTGATTGTATTCCCCACAGTACTGCCCTGACAACAACCATT